TTATACAGCTTCTCATTAATCCCATATAGGTAACTGTCCAATTATTTTCTTAATTGGACAGGTCTTGTTGATATGGGATTAATTAGGCAGCTATATAATCAATAGGTAGTGGGATTTCATGCTCTCCAATCAAGAAATAATTAGACTCGAAAAATTCCTTTGACTGCCAAATTGGACTCGGCCTACGGCCTCATCCAATTTTGTCAGTCCTCAGAATTTTCCTCGTCCAATTATTTCTTAATTGGACAGCATGGAGTCCTATTACATATACTTATTATTATTATTACTATTATTATTATTATTACGAAGCAACAAAGGAAGGAACGAAGGAAGGAACGAACAACAGACACACGAGAAAACAGAATGACAGGCAGACAGGCAGCACATTCATTATGTGGCCAGGAAAAGCAAAGCTTTACACTTAGTCTTTGAAATGGAAGAATAGAAAAAAAAATGATGAACAGGTTTCAGAATTACCTCGGAACTGCCACTTCTTCTTGGGCATAACGCATCAAGTTCATCAAAGAATATGACACAAGGAGATGAATTCCTGGCTCTTTGAAATACTTGCCTTACTGCACGTTCACTCTCACCCACATACTAGAAACGAAATCAATTAATAACGTAATGTAGCTATAGAATTAACATTACCAAAATAAATGTGGTTCTTCTGGCAATATGAAAGAATCATAAAACACCAGAGTGGAGCACATTTCTTAGCTAGAAAATTATGGAATGGGTTCCAAACGGAATGCTGTACACTCAAATGGCTTTTCAAAATACTCTACTCCAACACTGGAATGAAAAAGACGCACGCTGCAACGCTGCAATCAATTAATCACTCAAATGGCTTCCAAAAAGCATYCATGATGAAGCCAAGAAATAGTATCCCAGTAGAATGGACACTGAAATGGCTTCCCAACGTGAAATAAGAAAGTTGCACGCTAAAGTACAAAGATGCTTTCCAAGAGAAGCATGCGAGTAAACAATCAAATGGCTTCCAAAGAGCATCCTACAGCATAACATTGGCATCCCAGTAGAGCATAACAGTGAAACGGCTTCCTGATACGCGCTGTAAACCGAACTAAACCGCATCTGTACACACAACTGACACAAGGCTTACCATGTTAAGAAGTTCTGGACCTTTAACGGAAATAAAATTAATTCCTGATTCATTTGCAATCGCCTGGAAATGAACATTTAGATATAAGAAATATGGCTTGTTTTACCCATAGTAATTTTGTTATCAAAATCAAGAGAGCTTTATGTAAATCCCTCCTTCTCCTATTTTCCAAAGGGGAGGGGGACGCAGTGGCATATGCATAGATACTAACTTACCTTTGCAAGGAGGGTTTTGCCACATCCGGGGGGTCCTGCCAGCAGGATTCCAGGGGGGTGCGATAAACCTAAAGAAGCAAACTCGTCTGGGTGTTGGACTGGTGCCTAGTTAGAAAGATAACTGTATTGATACAACATTCTTTTATTCATTAAAAGAATGGCCAAAAATGTTTTGGGAATAAATTTCTGTTTGTGTAGAGAGGTTCGTGTTGGCTAAGCTGAAGATAGACGAGTAACTGATTATGAAAATTAGACTAACAAGCAGCTTTACCATCGATATTATCTTAACGAATTATTATTATCTTCACCTTCACTATACATCATCCATCATCTTCACCACTGTTATGATCACCATACAGCATCATCATCATCATTCATTATTATTATCAACACACAACATTATCATCATCATACAGTATCATCATCATCATCCACCATCACCATAATCATCCATTATTATTAACACACATCATCATCATCATATTAGTACCATCATCATCAATTATCATCATCATCTTCTTCACTGCCATCAATTCCAAAAAACTATAATGACATTTAAAAATGACTTTGAACACAAAAGAACAGTATATCAAGGGTGGATCAAGGGTGGATCCAGGGGGGTGGGGCAAAGGGGGGCTGACCCCCTTCAGCAGAAAAAATCAAAACAAAACTGTTTTGTGTGTGTGTTGACAGAAGAAACTCAATTAGCCCCCCCCCCCTCCCCTCCTAAAATTTTGGCTGGATCCACCCTTGTATATAAATATAAAATACCAGTATAGCCATGGATAATTCCTCTCTAACATCTTTCAGTGCTCCAATGTCATTCCATGTGACATCTGGTATAGTAGCAAATCCTTCTCTTTTAGCTGATGGCTGCACAACAGTCAAAGCTTCCTACCAACACAACCAGTACCTTTTAGTAAGACTTTCAAAATATTTGAAATCAGCTCCTGAGCCTATATACCAATTTGGAAACGAATCATTTGACATCATCCAACAAGAAACTTACTTTGAAATCATCAAAGGTAATTGACAAAGATGAAAGCTGTTCGTCAGTTAGTGGAGGCTGGTCCTTTAACCATTGCATTACTGGAAAGGAAAATGAAGAACATAAGATAAACAGAAACTAGATAAAACAAAGCAAAAATCAAAGCAAAAACAACCTCTAGTCAGGATACACCCATATCTGGATTAAATAAGAAAAAATGGAAATGCAATTCATTTTGCAGCTTACCATTTATGTTAACTGCCTCAGAACGTTCTGTTTTTTCTTGATTTGTCTCAGTTTTATTTTCATCTTCCTTCATTTTGTCATCACTCCCTTGGATTTCCCTCCTGGTTCCCTCTGTGGCTTCAAGTGCAGGGTGATTTTGAAGACTTTTGAAGACTCTGCATGTGTTTAAAAGACATTGAAAATTACAAGCATGACATTTTATTCCAGTTGCCAAGGAAATGTAACTTTAATAAATTATCAGTGCAGCAGTCAGTCATTGTTCAGCTCTCTCACCATCATTTATCATCATTATTTTGTCTAAAACCAGGAAACAAAAAACCGCAATACCACAACATGTGTGGTATATATTTGTTGCTCTCTCCCTAAGTTGCTGCGAAGGTTTTTTCTGCGGGTTCTCTGGTTTTCCTCCCTCCGTAAAAATCAACATGTGAGGTGAATGTTGTGTGTTGTAAATAATGAATGTAGTGGTAGTGCAGAGCAAACTTACAGTAAAGGAAGAGCACCTTAAAGGGAGTGATGGTTGTAAAATATATAATTATAATTTATAACAATAATATGTATATGAGATGATAATTATCCTACCTGTTGACAGCAATCATAGATGCTTCTCTGGTCAAGGCCATAAGATCAGCACCCACAAAACCAGGAGTCAAACGAGCCAGCATGGCAAAGCTGAACTCATCACTTAACTTGAGCTGTTTACATAACACCTTTAGAACCCTGAAGAATGATCAAAGCAAGTTGATATAGTTATCTTTACCATAGCTAATAATTAGTTTGGTTGTAATGAGACTTAAGGTTACGGTAAACAATAAGTTTATCAACAGTATACTTTCAACATAACAAAATTATCCTACCCATATCCTACTGACAACCTACCCATGCCAGTAGCAAGGGCAGATCCAGCCAAAATTTTAGGGGGGGGCTAATTTTGTTTAGGGGGGGCTAATTGAGTTTCTTCCGTCAACACAATGGAAAACAAAGGAAAAAACATCTAATTCTTTAGTTTTTGTTTTTTTCTGCTGATGGGGGGTTTCAACCCCTCTTTGCCCCCCTGGATCCGCCCTTGAAAAGACTAGCTTAGAATCCCAAATTACCGATGTGTTCCTTGATTACAGACTCATTTACACAGGGTTAGCCTCGATTTTGTGCAGAATATTCACAAATACCAATGGCAAAGTAAAGAATGCACAACGTCAACTAATATATAAACACTTTGAAATTCAATGAACCTTGACTGCAACACGTGAATAAACACACAAAATCGAGGCTAACCCTTTGTAAATGAGTCTGTAATCAAGGAACGTAGCTGAAAGAGCAGGGGCACCACAGCAGCGTTTGCTAATATTTTCTGCAATGATGATGATGATGATAATGGAGATGATAATGATAAAGATGATGATGATAATGATGATGATGATAATGATGATGATAATGATAAAGATGACGATGATGATGGTGATCAAGATGATTACCCTTAGAACCATTGTCAATCACACATGTATGATCTAAGTTATCACATCCCCCGTCAACTTCCTGGATCCACCTTACCTTTCTCTAGCTTTTTCATCTGGGATACCCATACTAATCTCTCTGTCAAATCTTCCAGCCCTTCTGAGTGCAGGATCAAGGGAATCAGGTCTGTTGGTTGCACCGATCACAAGTACCTGGGCTGTGCTATTATTATTGAGGTCTAAATAAAGACAATAAAATAATAATAATAAAATATTTGCAAAAATTATAAACACAATATAGCTCTAAGTTAATTTTAATAAACTGTGAGAGAATTTGAAAGTATCTTTGAAATCACAATCCTATCTTTCATACAACTACATGTATGTCTTCCTTTTCTCCCTTTTTAATTATTTTTCTCATTCATTCATTCATTCATTTACTTCCTTCCTTCCTTTCTTTCTTTTTCCTTTCTTTCGTTATTCCTTCGTTTTTTCTTTCATTCTTTTTTTCTACATTTAGCCTTTGTCGATGTATTTATTCAAAAAATCTCCTAGCTTGTTTTAAAATAGTTATATTCAGCTTCTCAACAACTAACATAGTTCATTTTGAAGGACAATCTGAGAACTAACAAATTTTCCTGAAATTAGTTAATTGGAGTCAGTAATAAAGTATCCTCCAACCCAAATACTCACCATCCATGCATGTAAGCAACTGGGAAACAATCCTTCTCTCCATGTCTTTAGATGCTGTTTCTCTTTTGGGAGTGATGGCATCTATCTCATCAATGAACATGACACAAGGTGCTTGAGTCTGAAAAGCAAGTAGGAAAGGAATAAATTTCATGGCTGGCTTTTGTAAATAATTGCTATGTCAAGGCATAAGAGTGTCATATTTTTTATCTTACCACAGCACTGTTAAACAGTTCTCTAACTTTCTCTTCTGATTCTCCTGACACTCCAGATACAATCTCTGTTGCTGCCAGCTTTAAAAATGGGAGTTCGAGCTCCTAAATATATCAAAGAAGAGATATAGCGATCAAATTAATTCAGCCAGTTACAGCCCAATAGTAATTATTAGTCCAAGTTTAAAATAGATGTCCAGTTTAATATGTCAAACTAAGAAAGCAGTGAGAGCAGTAGTCTCTCACCAATGCGACCCGGGTTTGAGTCCTGCTGGTCTCTGCCTCGTATGTGGATAGTTTTTTTTTTGTTGGTTCTCTCCTATGCTTCGAGTGTTTTTCTCCAGGTTCTCCGGCTTTCCTCCCTACACAAAAATCAACTTCTAAATTCCAATTCAATCTTTGGGCTTTCACCTAGTTTGGAGCCTAGCTCTGTTGTGATTGGCCTATGCTGTCATACAAAAGCTATAGCTTAATAGACGTTGGCCAATCAGACTTTATTGTTCCCATGGTTGCACATGAAAACTATTAGAGTATATGATAAATGTTTTTAACATATGCTTCAAAGATGACATTTAATTCTCAGTCTGGGGATCCAGCCACAGGTACTTACCCCAGCAATAGCATGAGCCAGAAGAGTCTTGCCACATCCAGGAGGTCCATGCAGAAGAAACCCTCTGGGAGGAGTGATACCAAGAGTGGAAAATACTTCAGGGTGACACATATGGATAAGCATTTTACATACTTGCTCTATTGTCTCCTCACAGCCACCTACGTCGGAGAACTTCACTGACGACTGAGTTGGTGTAAAGCCTAAAGAAAAATGATTCCAAGACACTGGCAGTCAGTGTATAATCATTGTTATCTAAGCCATTTAATTTATCAGAACTTTTTTAAAAGAAACAAGAACAAAAAAGAAACTATAAAGCTTTTAGAAGGAGCAGATGTAGCTTTGTTTGTGTGCTGCCTTCAGAGCTAGAGGTTCACGGTTTGATCCTAGGGATCTCCATATCTGATTCAACTTCTCTCAAATCCATATAGCTTCAGCTTTGAATACTCTCAAAACAGAGTAAGGTTTTTTTTTTAAAGCACACTATTGGCTTTCTGGGATCCCAGCTCCACATAGCTGAAGGAACTACCAACATACATGTAGTAGTGTAGTTAATATACTTTTACCTTTTTTTTAGAAAAAYGTACTTGTAAGAAGTTGAAATGGTATCTCATATCATCCTAAATATCTTACTCAAGAAACTTCTAGTTATTCTTTTCGTTTGTAAGAAGTTTGTTTGTACCTTTGGGTTTATCTTCATTAATTTCATTTTCATTGTTGCTGTTTTCTGCTCTACTCCTTCGTCTCTTCTTAGAAGGTCTTGAAGAAACTTCTTCCTTGTCTGATATATCTGTTTTTCTTTTGTTTTGTGAGTTTGGAGTATTCTGAGAAAACAAGACTAGATTATTCGTAAAACAATGGTTTTAATTATCTTAAGACATGGTAATATTTGACAAGAAAGGAAAGGACATTAAAGAAACTTTTGCAAGAAGAGCTGTGATTACATCAGTTATGGTGAAGAACTGCACATCTCTATGTGACTACCCAAATGAGAAAAATTTTGGCTGTCAGTTTATGATTTGCATATACTGTGTCAATACTTCAGTTTCAAGTTCTCTGTTGCTCGGGGTTGGCCTGGATTTTGTGCAGAATATAATTTCATAATGGAATTTCATAGTGTTTGTATTGTTGAAGTTGTGCATTCTTTACTTTACAGCTGTACCATGTTATTTGTGAATATTCTCAAATGAGGGAACAGCAATGATTTCAAACTCGAAAAAGGCCTCCACTCCATGGAATGAGATTTGGGACTAATGATATCACCAACCCCTCCCCTCCTGGATGGGATGGATGGAATGTCATTCAAGACAATCTGTAACAACCAGTAATAAAAACAATTAAGTGACTTGTAACATTTCTTACTGGTTTATTAATGACTGATGAGTCTTGATCTCTTGATATATCTATAGGTTTATCACCAGGTTGCTGGTTTGATGTACTCTCTTCCATTGTTGATGGTACTGATGATGATTTAATTGCTTGTGGTGTGCTTGAAGGTAGGTTGGTATCAATGACAACTACAACAAATGAAAATAACATCATTAATTTATAATTCAAAAGACAATTGAAATCACATCCAAGTCATATTGGTTAGAGTTACCATTCTTTGTACTGATATAAATAATTTTAAGCACATATATATTTCTTATGTAGAAATTGTAAAGCGCTTAAAGAATATTTATATAGGCACTATATAAATACTTTTATTATTGTTATTCTTGATTTTATTTTGGGAAGCACATGCAGGTGGCATAGCTTTGAAAGTGTTCCCCTCAAGTTTCACCAATGTGACCTGGGTTTGATTCTGGGACTCTGTGTCATTCAGCGTATGTGAGTAGAAATTCCTAGTTTGTTCTTTCCTGTGCTTCGAAACTTTTTCTCTGGGTTCTCCAGTTTTCCTCCCTTCAAGGGCCACAGGTTTGTTAGTCAGTGGCTATTTAGTGCTACCCTCATAAAACCAGGRCGAATTTAAATTTTCTATTTACCCCTACCTATCGGTGTACTAATGTTACCAGTGGGATCATTTTCTGTTTGGTTGTTGTCCTCGGCTTCAGATGAAGGTCTTGATGTTGACAGCCTGTACATGGATTGCATTGATTGGTTCATCAAGTTGCTACCCTGAAGAAAAAACCCAAAGCAATAAAATATTACTAAATGTGCTAGTGGTTCCTTCAGTAACCTGGCTATACATCATGCCCATAGTGAGATCCAATTGTTTACCAAGGTAAACAAGCGGTGAAGGCAGAATAACGTCACAAGGGGATTTGAGGGCATGTACCCCTGGAAATTTTGAAATTGAGACCCTCGGAAATGCGATTTCCAGAGTTTTGATAGTCTCCTACGCAATGCTGTTAGGGTCATCTCTACCATATCAAACATTGAGTGTCATATTTCCCAGTGTCTGTTGTCTGCGAGGCAGGCCCACGATTTAGCATCGTCCCCATATCCTTTCTCGACTTTCCAAAGTTTTTCTTATTTTACCTGTCTTTCTTTTTCTTTTCTTTTCTTCTTCAAAAATGTTCATGTCAAATTCATTAAAACGACAGCCTTTGTGTTTGCCACTTTTCCACACAATCCAAATATGGAATTGATCATACCATATATGGAGTGAGCTTTCTCTACTCCAACTTCCACACTAACATATAGAGTAAAGCTTGATATGTAGCGCCTGTTTAGGAGACTAGAGTTTTGAGGGATATTTGTGACATTTTACAAAGGCAACTGCCTCGCTTGCCTCAGTGGCTATGGCTCTGTGCATGCAATTGGTCTGAAGGCTTCTGCATACRATCATGTATTTACCTGTGTTTCAATCAATGGTTCCTCTAGAAGGGATAATTCACTGTCGCTTGTGTCACTGCCTTCTTTATCCTCAACACTCACGTTTTCCTTTCTTCTATCATCCACCAGTGGTCTGTCAAAAAATCATACTTTATTTTTGTGCAGGAAGAAAAATTGGAAGAGCATCAATCATATTAAATCTTAATAAAACGCTTTATGAAAGCATGCAAGCACACTTTCAGTTGCATCATTCCATCTAAAAAACCAATTATTGTAATTTGTTTTATAAAAAAAATAACCTGCCTGCTATGCCGTGTGCAGTTATGCATTGTAAAGCACTTGGGGATTGTCACAACACTCGAGAAGTGTCGAGAAGCACTGAGCTGCTATGCATCGTACTTCTTCTAACACTTCTCTTGTGTTCTGTCAACCCCCGTGTGCTTTATAACTCACACAGCACATGCACAAGTTTTCTATTTCTTCAATAATAAAGGTTGATTAGTGATGTTGCAGTACCCCTTGCCACTCATTTCAAGGGTCCTAGTCATTAGAAATTCCTCGTCATTAGAAATTGCTGGGTCTCTCCCTTGATTCAAGGGTTCTTTCTGGACTAGTTTTCCTCCTTCGATGAAACCCAACATTCTCAATTCCAAAATCAGTCTAACATGTGTTATTGTGTTCATAGCAACAAAGTGTAATTTTATTACATGTCAAGCTTACATAAAACTGAAGTCCTTAGATTTTTCTTGAAGGAACTTCTCTTCTAGTCTTTGAAGATGTTTTTCTTCATTATCTTGGTCATTTAATACCTTAAACGCTGAGAAGGGATTCAAAGTACTTATGTTAAGTCATCATTAAAATAATAAAGTGCAGTGGGTTTAATATACATTGATCACAGAAACTGTCAATATTATAGACCTCTTTACCTTGGGTGCAATRAGGGGTTTTTCCATTTCAGACCATGTGTCATTCTTTTAAGAATAAGATTGTTTGAATTGTATCCATATTCATTTGGCTTTTCATGTGCAACTGTTAAACAATGAAAGGATACTCTAGGGAATGACATGTGGTCTGAAATGGGAAAACATTATTCATGAGTCAAAAAGGTGTTTTGTCATTATACCTTTTTGGACTGAAAACCTAAATGAATTTCTTTTCTTTCTGCTGTAGTCACTAAAAAATGTCCATGGTAAAAAAAAAAAGAAAAGAATTATTTTATATATATGCATGTATATAACCTACTTGGCAGAGGTTACCTCCTCTTTCCCTTCTTCACCATAAATTTAAATTATGTATTTAAATATTAACTTTACAACTTAATAAACAAATACCTAATTGAGTGCACAGTCAATAAAACAAAAGTCCTATGTAAAGACTAGCCAAACTAAGAAAGGAGAAAGGAAAAACATCTGCCATGCAGGGGAATATACCCATACACTAGGCTGGTTGAAGTTGGCCAGTCCACAAGGCACCTTAGGTCAATTTGCTTGCCAAGCATCAAGCTCAACTATTGCCCTTGTGTCAAGTGTATCCTTTTTTATAAACTTATTTCGGATTGAACATTAAATGTGGTCAAGAGTAAACAAAGTTAACTGGGAGGTAATAAGGTCAACCATGCTTTTAAGGCCCTCGTTGCGAATGCACGTATAACACAAGTGGCATGGTCAGCTGCAAGGTTTGATCTGCCAGTGCTCTTGCTCGCTCAGCCGTTGAAAGATTTTGCTGTGAAAGATGGTGTTTGATAAACAAATAAATATCCATGCTAATCCTAGCGTAACCAACCTGTATCTAGATTGTAAATGTGACGTCATTTCTTCTATATCAGGTGTGTATCCTTTCCTAAACTGGCTCAAATACTTTTTAAAAAATGCAAAAAAAGAAAAAACTGAATTCAACTGCATTGATAAATGAATGTAATAGGAATGGGACTAATGAAAAGTCAGTAAAGGCACAATTACACTGAGCAATTTTCTCTGTAACTTGTCTTGCAACAGCGTTGCGACACAAGTTGCAAGAGCGTCTACACTGTGCAATGGAGACGCAATTGTTGCCAGGAGTAGAAACAAATTCTAATTTTCGCAAGGACTGCTGAAACTTGTTTCACAACATTTTTCAAATTTTGCTGTAGGTTACAGGTGGCAATGCTCCATACAACTTGTATTGCAGAGAAATTTGCTTAGTGCAATCGCGCCTTAAGGCTCCCCTATTTCCCTCCCCCCCATGTGGCTGAATGTTTGTKCATGTATGTCGTAAACTATTCTTTGATTGCAAGTTACATCATCACAACAATGCTGGTGCCATTTAACAAATGATTTCTTATTAGCATCCATTGCTAATGGCACCAAAATGGCTGCCATGTTTTTGTCATTTGACGCTCATTTGACATGTTGGTGGTATTTAACAAAAGATTTCTCATTTGCTTCCTTAATGTTATACCACCAACATGGCCGCAATGTCTTTGTCATTTGACTCTTTTGGGATATATTATTTTGAATTCAAGCATCTATTCAGCTGGTATCTATTCAGCTGGTATCTATTCAGCTGGTATCTATTCAGCTGGTATCTATTCAGCTGATATAATTCATAAGAAACCAAAAATATGACAGGTACACTTTTAACGCATGGACTTTAATCCCGTTAAAAATGATTGCTTAAAGTTCCGTGGCCTCCATATTTTTAGTTATATATTTTTTTATATTAGCATGTTTTGTTTTTCACTGTACTGCTTTTCTAGATGTTCTACTTTGTAATTATCCCAAGTGACAACGAAATATATTTGCAAGGCGTTAGGTAGGTGAGTTTAATATAGATAAAGTGGCAGCGATAGATAGGAGGGCAAAYGTCTACCTGTTTCATACGAGGTAACAAGGCTTTATCCATGATGTAGGCACCTCTAGGTGAACCTCGAGATTTATTACTTGACTGACGATCAAATTTATTGAACGGCTTACTACATCCTCCTCGCGTAACACCGTTCATCGTGTCTTGCACTTAAACCACTCTTTTTAACGTAAGATAACTATTATTTAGACTATAATTTGTTTTTCAATTTGGCTGTATTTCGACACACTTCGTCCGCCATCTTTGTTTTGCACGTGTGGCCAAGGAGCCTGGCTAATAGAGACACACACAGGCAACCCACTTATACTCAGYGTAAAGAAAGAAAACATGCTAAAGGAAATAAAATGGATCTGAATATGAAAATATGACCTAACGCTTGGGAAATAGAAGAAAAACAAGACTTAAATAGAAATGGGATTATGATTGAAGACAAACTTTCTAAAGGCTACCAGCAATTTTATCCATTTATTATATCATTTATTATACATTTATCACTATATATAATTTAAAAACTATAACTTATGTTTTCAGTAATTTCTTTTCAGTAATAACTTTTCATTTTGGCAGAAATTTTGCCAGCTTTGGAAATAGTTTGAGTGCATTTTTAGTTGTTTCTTGAAATACTGTTTCCATGGATACGCCCTTTATTCTTGCAATCTCTTTGCAGGAAATCACTATATTTTTGGGTTCATTGCGAGTCTGAAAAACAAAAATCAAATGGATGACCAAATTACATGTAAAATGTTCATAAACTGGTTAGTAAAAAAAACCCATTTATKTATTTGAATAACTTATTAATTTATTTGAATAATTTTAATAACTTAATGGTGTCTGCAGGGCTTGCGAACCAGTGACCAGACCCATTGGACTCACAGTGGTGAAAGACAATGTGTAAGCAGCATATGCCACCCATAAGGGGAGTAGCAAGTTCTCAATTATAAGGGGCAATGTACCATTTCCCCACCAAATCCACAGGAATCCTGCATGAATTAATTAAATGTTGGTGCAAAAAGCAAAGTTTTGGTTTGGCACATGTCCCCCTGTGCCCCCCTCCCTACAATAGTGCCACCCATTCTACCCACCCGTCTACAAAATATCTTACCTGTTTGACAGGTGATAGTGCAGGAGAATCAGTTTCCAACAAAAGATTTGATAAAGGAACTTGTTTGACCAGTTTTTGTTTTTGCTCGGATCGTACGATAGATGGAGGGATGGAGAAAAAGAAACCAGCCTCTACTCCAGTCAATGCAACAGATGCTCGACCATCAAATGCATGTAGATTAACACGTTTAGCACCTAGCAGTAGATATAAAGTGTTGAAAATTCATCATGTGTTTACAATCATATGCTTGCTTCACACACTTGTCATCATCATTCTGATGAATTAAGGCTATCACAAGCATAGCTGTAAAAATCACACATTTAAACCGAGAAATTGACTCCATAAGTACAAGAAATTAAAAGCAATCTTCTGACCTTGGTCTCTTAATATCTGTATAACATGTCTTCCTGCAGACCTTGAATGGACATTTCTGGGGAAAAAAGAAATTTAAAAGGTATTAAAAATTTAATATAAAAAAACGTTATCTGTTCATCAGTCCATCCATGCATTCATCCATGCTTCACACTTTTCATCAATACATACACAGGAAGATCTAGTTCCATAGCTAGTTGGATCTTCAAAGCAAAAGAAAACAAACCAATTAACGATTAGTTATGAAAATCTATAATATCTCCAGTTCTGGTAATTCAGGTGTGTCTAAGATCCATTAATCCTTGCCATATCATGGTCCTCCGATAAAATTATATGGTAGTTCTCATAGTACTTCCCCAACCCCATCCCAACACCTGACCCAATGCCCAAAAGAACTTAGCAAACACATAGATTGCTCTTACATTACATAAACTTAAATTAAGGAGATATCATATATCAAAGTAACTAAAAGGCTATATTTGCATTTACCTGTTGAATAAATACTTCTTTTTGGTTGTCTTTGTCTTTGTCTGATTTAATAAATCTTGGAGTAAAATCCAAACCAATCTGTATCAAAACGAATATAAATCCTAAATTATATTAAGAAAAATATGTAAAGCTGTTATTGCAGCTACATTTACAGTTACCATAATCATTGCTTTTGTTGTGACTGTTGCTGCTGTTATTATCACCCCAACCCCCTCCTCCCCCATCATTGCTAATCATCACCACAAGTACGGCAGTGGCACGTCTCAACTGGGTCAAACTGAATTGAATTAGTTAAGGTTGGTTTGAGAGGAGGGAGGAAAATCCAGAGGACTGGAATAACCCTCTGGATCAGAAAGAGAACCAACCAGCTGTTATTGTTATTGTTGTGACTGTAATTTTTCCTGTTGTTGCTGTTGCTTTTGTTGCTCACATCATGGCAGTCATAGCTGCTGCTGTTGTTGTTGATACTGTTGTTGCTGCTGTTGCTATTGTTATCAATGTCTTTATTTGCACGTATAATAACTACATTGAGTATAATGGATATGTATAGATTATTCAGGCTGCACATGTCATAAATAAATTTATTTTCCTTTCAAGTTCTTAACCAAATACATTAGCTCACCTCACCAATAGCAAAAAGGTTGTGTTGGTTCTGTCTAATGATGTCTTCCACACCAATCAGATCATCCATAGTCACACTTCTTTCAGGAGTCAATTGCTGAACTGGATGAATACCAAGACATGGGGCAACAAAATCAGGGTACCTTAAAAGAATAGATTAGATTAGAGTGAAGAACTTGCAGTACCTATATGCGTGTACAGTCAATTMAAAAAACATTGTTGTTGACCAACTCAAGCCTACGCAACTGGACCGAAAGGAACTCTGGGTAGCAATCATTGAAGCCGAGTTGACTCGCCTCCATTATTTTATCTGACTAGTTATGACTGGTTTACAGCATGAACCTTCGTAGTTGAAGAAGACGTTTTTTTAATGCCTTCATATTTTCGGAATTGTGAACTGAATCATAACTACTTTGTTTTTCTTTCCCTAAAGCCAAAGACATGCTTTGATGGATTGTTTCTCACCATTTTTATCTTATTACTAGCGGGAACAATTAATTCAGAACAAAATAATATTTAACTGCTTCAGTGATTTTTACCCATATTCCTTTCGGTTCAGTTGTGTAGGCTTGAGCCGGTCGACGACAACGTTTTTTGAATTGACTGTATACCCCCACAATGCATAAAGGCATGCAATGTATAGAGCAAGGTTCACAACGCAACAGGTATACACATGTATGCACAGGGAGGGATAAATCTCCAAAGTCAGTAACTTCTATTGCTTTGTGCATGACACAAGATCAATTAAAATTTAGCAGCTGATTGTTGTGAAGGGAGGAAGACTAGGAAACCAGGAGAAAAATCCTTGAAACACAAGAAAAAACCAATACCTTGAAGTAAGATCTAACAACTTTTGAAAGTCACTTTGAAACTCTGTTACACCTACGACGGCAGCAACTCCATTCTAAAATTTTATAAATAATAGAATAAATATCAATTTTGAACACCTAAGTTACAAATGTTTTAGACTTAGTAGGGTCATATGGATTAACAGAAATATCCATACCTTTTGTGCAGCCTTGATGACATCATCTATGTCCTGTAATAATAATTTACATATGATAATAATAAGTTATAATAATAATAAGCATGCATGTGATGTTGTGATGTTTTACAGAGAAGTTAGTGCAGTCCCAAAAAGTGTCCAATACTCACCCCCCCCCCCCTCCGACCCTACAAAACTACATCCTCCTCACCCTTATGAAATTCCAGCCTCCTCTCATTCCTCTACATGGAAAAACTGTGGGTATTTTCTAAAGTACACAAATTAAGGTGTAATATGATTTATGCTGGTCTTTTGTTATATCTATTGTGATTCGTTTTATAGACTGTAAAGCTAGTACAGATATTTTTATAAATCTGCCACAATTTATATCTGCTGAGGTAATTACAAGACGTTCAGAGCTTGATAATGTATGGATAAATTGGATGGATGCAGTGTCCTACTTTCGTTACTTACAAATACTGAAAGTACAAAATTTAGAAGAGAAATCAAAGTTTTAGGATTTTTTGAGATGCAGGTTCAAGAGAAGTGTAAAAAGACACTAAAACATCTTGTTCAAGATATAAAGTATCTGATATCTGACTGTTCAATCGATATTATTGAATACAAAAACACTTACTTGGCTCAACTCATCAGCATATATGTGAGCATGGCAATCAAAACACGGTGGAATGTTTTCTTGGTCCACTTCGTCCGCCATGTTTTTTCCCCCGATGTTAGCATATGGGCTTCCTGTCCTTTATGAATACACAGGGTACCCATTACTTAATTTTTGCCACTCGCTTGGAAGCGGTAGTTGTAGTGCGGAAGGTGAGAGATTTTCAAAATCCATGCAGTCTCATTTATCATCAGGCATCAACAATAATGCACCTTTTTAAATATTGTCCTAACAGCCTCCCCATACTTTATTTTCTTTAATTTCTGTACAGAAAAGTGCAGCTAGCTTGAAGGGAAAATGAGTGCACACATAGCATGCAAGACTAGTAGCGCAGTCCCTAGACTTTCGCTAAGTACGCCCCCATGTGTACTTATACTGGCGTCGCTCGCTCGCTGCGCTCAACCAATTCCTGCTTCGCTCGAATAAAAACCTCTTGCAGCAGACCTAAGAGGTCGACTTGGGGCGAGTCTAGTCCCTAGCCTTGACCCCCAGTGATTTAATTTTAATCCGTGATTTCAATTTGATACCGTGTATAAATAGTGATCCTATCCTATCCTTTCCCCATATAACGGAGTATTAAGGGGGAGGGGGAGGCGGGGCACGTCGGCTTCCTGTAAGACCAGCTACTGGCTGAAGGTGGGAGTTTAAATTTTGACTGACGGAAGCAAAAACAGATGTCTAGATTTTTAATAGATGGTTGCGAGGCATAATTGCTTCAAAGTTTATTACTACCCTGTGAAAAAACCGGCTCTGGGCTGATTGAACCCAGGGCACAGCTCTCGTATATTGAAATTAAGGGATCGGATCTAGACCTATAGCAAACTCTACTCACATGTGCTCCCGAGTCTAGGAATTGAAGCCGAGGCCATAGGCTAGTGCGCAATCGCTACTACACCCTCGATTCCCAACTGACAAAACGACACAAAACATGTTGAACAAGAGCTAATAGAATATATTATATCGATATGTGAACATTAAGACTATTTTACACACAACTGACTGAACTACTTTCCTATTCCTATAACAGAATAATTAAAAGATAGATTAACAAGAAATTTAGCTCGACGATGTATAAGAGCGCAGACAGCACTTCTTGTTCGCTGTTCCCATTGGCACAAGAGCCTGTTACAAGAAATTTTTTACAGAAAATTCAACATTTTCAGAGTAGTAATTTGAAAAATCTAAAATCGTCGTTAGATAAAGAATATTTCAAAAGGATGTTAAACAGAGAAATGTGTYACTGAAGCTTATCTCGTGAAGATGTTATACTCAAGTTTCAGCTTTTACAGCCATGTAACGGCCACAAGTACAGATCATCCAGTTTAAGCCAAAAGCTTTACAAAAATAAATAGACAAAGGGAATCCTATTTACCGTACAGTAAAACTACATTCAATATGGAAAAACAACTTCCATGCATTTTGTTTTTTTCTTTCCATTTGAACGCCTTCTTGAAAGAGGATTCCAATCCCAATTCCAATCGAACGGTGCATGATGCGTTAACATTTGTAATACACCTCTTGTTTTCCCGTTTCAAGCTACATTCCTTGAGTATAATTTCTTTCTTTACTGGTAATCTTCAGATCACAATGTTATAAGCAGTAACACAAAAACAAGGGAAAGGAAAAGTAGCGATCCTTTTGCTTGTATTTGGCCTGTTTTCACAATGAAATAAGGACTTGTGCTTGCGAGATCAAGTGGTTGCGAGTAAAGCTAAAGCTACGGACACACGGTGCAACATTGCGCGCACATGCAATTGATGTTGCGAGCCATGACACACGACGCAATTTGTTGCACGCAACGTTGCTGAAGTAGAAAACTATCCTTCTTCAGCAGCATTGTCTGCAATGTTGCACCGTGTGTCTGTGCCATAAAACTAATTCGAAGAATACAGCCAATATTACAGCAAAACTAACAGACACTATATTTTTTGGATACTCTTTGAGGTTCTGTAATTTCATGACTGTTACCCAACATGCACGGTTTTTAGAAAAAGACGCAGGAATGCTTTAACAGTTATGCCCTTTCAACAGTTCTATTAACTATTTGATACTATTTGATAGTTAACGATTTAGGAAAGTATAGATCATCATCTTGTACAAATTTACCAATAATACCCGTAAAGACCCAAGGCCCCACTTGGATTAGTTCCAATGACTTTCCCTTCAAGAATATGAATAGAAAATTTACCTCTATCGAATAAAAGGTTAATAAACTTAAACAAACTTAAATTCCCCGAAACCCCCTAAAAAACAAATCAAAAACTTTTCAATTCAGGTGGTCTAAAAATACTTGACAATTTACAAGAGAATTTATCTACATTTGAAATGCTCGTCGCAATCACATCTTGTTTTTTTCTCCTTGAAACCTTTTCTTTTTTCTCTCTTTCTTTGTTCCAAGAACGCGCGCAATCAAGAAGCACTGATATATTAGCCATTCGGAGGTTGAAGAAAAAGCTGGGTCGAGTTGGTATTGCAGTGCATTGTGGGACTGTTTTAGGAGACACATTTCCAAGATGGCGTCTATTTGGTCCCTAGACTCTTCCACAGTCTCTCGCTCGTYCGTTCCGTCTCCACGCTTAGAGACTGTAAYGGTACAATGACCGAAAGGACTTATGGGTCCCGAAAACTTGGACCCAGCGTGCTTTGGGAACCAAAATACTCGTCCACAGTCTCTCTCGTTTCAATATTTTCAAGATGGCGGCGTAAACGAGAGAGACTGTGGACGAGCATTTTGGTTCCCAAAGCACGCTGGGTCCAAGTTTTCGGGACCCATAAGTCCTTTCGGTCATTGTACCGTTACAGTCTCTAAGCGTGGAGACGGAACGGACGAGCGAGAGACTGTGGAAGAGTCTATTTGGTCCCCTAAAGCTGCCCCACAATGCACTGCAATACCAACTCGACCCAGTTTTCCTCTCAATCTTGGTACGGCTAATACGACACCAATGCCAATCGATATGCCACTTGAATTATRAAGCCGGGACCATAAGATCGAGAGTCGCGAAATTTAAATGAAAAGCAAAAGGGTTTATATTTCAACGAATTTGTTTTTAGAAAAGGAAAGGATGCCAGAATAGTCATGTGTGCAATACAAACTCGACCCAGTTTTTCGCGGACACATGACATATGGTCCCAGATTCAAGAACATGTACATCAAGACAGATTAGCAAGTGCGCGCGACTTTACTATGATCGTATGCCCCTTCACACCTTCGGCAACATCACGAGTGCATTACGAGGAAGTGGCGACGTCTGTGTCGGTAGAAGTCGGTAGGAATTCCTCCGGTGGTTGGTAATCTTGAAGCGCTTTGACCGTTCGGGAATCATGAGGTATCTCTGATTTTCTTCGTACGAATTTCCGGCTTTCAATTTTGTTGGTTGCTATAGGTGCGGTTTTTGAGACTCCCTGAAAACAATTACGACAGCGAAGTGAGGGAAAAAGAGTCAAACAAATAAGTCGAGACGGATTTTTAAAAAMTTGTTTGACTATAATTCGCCTAGTCGAGAAATGAGATTTAATATCACAAAAAATGATTTATAAGTGCCGTAAAGGTGATAAGATCAAAGCGCTGTAAGGGGTATTTCTCTTATCTCTCAATGAAAGGATCATTTTCTTTAGCATGTCATTATTAAGGCCTTTTCAACATGGTAAGACAACTTTGACAATGCTGCCATGAATGCTTGATCGCTTAGTTTAAATGTCTGGTCCAGAAATCTTCAAGGACCCAAGTTCCCAAGGGAACGAACAGGAATAAGCCAGAAATCTGGTTTCCTGTTATTTAGTATACGGTACCGTATTTACTCGATCAATCGCCCCCGGCGTTCATTTAAAACTTAACCTCGTTCAATAGGGTTTATTTAAACCCGGCGTTAATATGATTCGGATTCTGGCGTCTCAATCGAGTTAATATGGTACCGTGAGCCAGCCACCCCTTTGGCCATATGAAGAAACTTATAGAAACACCCTTATTGGCGTCTATGGTCGTATCGCCTTACCTTGGCTGATAATATATTATCCATATTTATATTGTCTTCCGTGGTGTCCATATCTCTTAGACTATTGCCAGGAAGATCATCGTCTGACAGGTGTACTATTTTGTCATGCTGTATGTATGAAAACAGAAAGTGTTGAGATTTACGCTTTTATCAGGTATTTTAAAACTAGTAAAACAGAAAAATAGTTATCATAGCTAGAAAGAGCATGTTAAAATGATTTAAACTTTGAAGTTTGAAGGAAATAAGTTCAAACTCGTGAAGATATGATCTTTGAAAAGTGTGAATTTTGTAAAAAAACCTTGCTGGTGGCAAGAGATGCCTCCAAAAAAATTTATCGTCGCGATTTTTGAACTTAATTCTTTACTAATTCAATAAAATTTTAATTTTTTTCAGCTATGATAACTATTCTATAGAGCGCTTTCAATCACGTTAGAAGGCAGCCAACCAAAGAAACTTTTTGTACAGTTTTTGCATAAAAATAGAGTTCAATTCCCGGAGGATAGAAAATGTATTGTTTTGGTACACTAACATGGCCGCTGTGACGTCACGTGAAAACGCTCTATACAAACTATATTTATCTTCGGGTGGCTTCGAACGAGCACATAAAGATAGGGTAACCCAACTGCTAGGACAAGCTCTTTGGATAATAGTACGTGTCCCTTGTGCTTGCCTCAAGCACTAGGGACACCCTAACTTCATGTTAAACTAACCAAACATATTTGATCAACAAATTAACATTAAAATGTAAAGCCCCAAACGGCCGTGTATGTTGAGCATGTAGTTATTCACTACTTCTTATGATCTATCATACATTTGATGCCACTTGGAGGGCCACTTCTAAAATACATTAGTTTCCATAGTATTATAGTGAAGGATGACAAACTATTGTAAAGTGCTTTTCACAGATGACAAGGATATGGAACCCAAGACGGAACTAATAACACATCCAACATTTGAAAAATTGATGACAAAATGATAGAGTGAAGGCCTTTAACCCGTGAAATAAAAATTATTAGTCAACGTTTAATAGTCAAATAGACACAAAAGGGTCTACTAATAGTGTATTAGTCTAATATCTATTTCACGGGTTTAATGACTTCACTCCAATAGAAAGACTAAAAAAATAAATAGCCTTTATGTTAACGAGGGTAAAGCTGTATTAGCAACTAAGAGTTATCTGATATATACCCCTCTGACTATCTTACTATTATTATCTATTAGGATACGTTAGTCAAGACAGGAGGTACGTTAGAGTAGGATTCGCATCACTGTGTAAAACAACAATACTCGTCATGGTAACGGTACAATCACCGCTCATCCAATAAAAATGCTTGGACATAACATCGTAATCATTGGTCACGGCACGGCACGGCACTTCATGCCGTATTTTTTTCACATACTAATTTTGGTCAATTTTAAAGCATGAATATATCGCATTTTTGAGACAAATGGATTAAGGTCTTTTATTGAAAACTATAAGTTAATGAAATGAAGACACTGATCTAAACAACAACATTACTAATATAGTGAAATGACAGCCTGGGTCTTATTCACGCGCCAGCCATGTTTATTCTCATGAGAATATAAAAACCTTTGTTTAACCTGCATTAATTTATTCTCAAGCACTTAAATGCGAGGCTACGTTGGAAAATCTATCGTTACAGTCAACATGGCTGCCGCATGAGCAAGGTTCATGTGATATGATTTCAAAATGTTTGGTTCATGATAAGGACACGACACGAGGCTCCCCCTTTGTATTTACATTTCCGAACTCTTTAGGAACACGGAATTAATTGATTATTAACGCTGTCTGATAATTAACAAACAACAGTCGAAACCCTTACATCAGGGTTCTTACGAGCCAAGTCATGAATTTTCATCCATGCATTCTCCCTTTCTTTCAGTTTTTCTTTTTCCCTAAAACAAAAACATAAGAAAAGAACTTGATAAAGGTATTTTTAGGAATACAATTTAATAAGAAAACTAGTCGTAAAAGACAACGTTTCACTGTCATCTCGACAACATCATCAGGTCTAATGAAGACTGTAAACTCTACTTTAGTTTTCATTAGACCTGATGTCGTTGTCGAGATGACAGCGAAACGTTGTCTTTTACAACTAGTTTTCTTATTAAAATAAGAAGAAAAGTTAGAACTTTAATTCTAAAAAAGCTAAGGGACAAGATACAGTATGAGGGGTTTATCAAATTACAACATTATTTTTCTTTGCTTACGAAATCCATTTTATGTAAACGGTAATGGACATAATCCATTTTTGTCCTATTCCAGACCATTTAGCTAATATTTTAAAACTAAACTAGGCTTAAAAGTTAAAGCACTTTGCCAATACTAGTTGAGTACCAGGGCACTATGATGTCACACGCACCTAAAATGTACACCTTAACAACTTTAAATTTATCAAGCCCTGAAACAACCTCTGGGCTGATCTAAGTCAGGGCATGGCTTACTCACAAATCGAACCCTGAAACAACCTCTTGGCTGATCTAAGTCAGGGCATGGCTTACTCACAAATCGNGCATGGCTTACTCACAAATCGAACCCTGAAACAACCTCTTGGCTGATCTAAGTCAGGGCATGGCTTACTCACAAATCGAACCCTGAAACAACCTCAGGGTAGGGCTAACAATACACACCCTAAAACTGGGTTACCAAAGATTCATAAAGCATTCATATACTCTTACATTTGCCTTTCTGCCTTGTACTTCTGTGTGCAGTCATCAAACAATTTCTGGTTCATTTCCATGAATAGTTTCAGAGCATTGTATATCAGACCATGGATTGTCCTAAATGAAAACAAACGAACCAATTAAAATTTGTCAAAAAAAACTAGCTTTGTTTGTAGAGGGGGCAGGGAAACTCATTTTTTCCATGGGCCTCATATAAGTTATATACAAACMCTAAAAGCATACGATACAACTCCATCAACTTTCTCTATCTTGTCTGAATAGTGACCCAGAGAATATATGATGCAATGTATTTAAATCTCTGCACACACAAGGAGATTAAAAGTCTAAACAAGACTTTACATTGAATTAGCTAACTCCATCATTTTAGTGCCATTTAATTTTATCATTATCTTTGTGCTTTCCCAATGAACTCTTTTACCTTGGGCGTAATGTTTTCCAAATCATTAAAGAAAACATGTCATTCCCTAGATTATCATTCCTTTGTTAAACAGTTGTACATAAGAAAACACATGAATATGGATAAAGCTCAGATGAATTACCTTATTCTCAAGAGAATGGCATATGGTCTTAAATGGGCATGAAAGCATTAAACCCAAGCAAAAAGGGCTATAATATTTTTTTTCTTTGTCAATGTCTTTTCTTCCCATCCTCCTTTTTTTATTCCTTTTTTCTTAATGCGACTTACTTATTCCAGTGGTTCTTGGAATTCTTGTACAGTGAAGCAAACATGACTGGCAGAATGGCATTAGCATTATCGCTTATCAAACTCATTATATACTCATTATTCCAGTAGTATAAAGCTCTCTCAGCCACCTGAAATTGATAGAGAAAAATGACAAAAAGAACAATTATTTTTTCAGAACGTTTTCCTCCAAAACAATGTGGAATACTTTTTTAACTTAATATGTTTTCTATCTGAATTTTCAAGGCTGGAGTGATGTGGAAGGCTAGACCTGGAATAAYATTCCCAAGAAAACGTTTTGGCTTCTGTTTATTCCTTACATTGTTTTTGTTTTCAATTTGAATTTGGAGAGGGGAGGGTTTTCAGTTAAAGTTTAACAAACTCAAACAATTGTAAATTTAAAATGTCTTTTGTAAATGTTTGACAGAAGCCCAAAACCCAGATGCTCGGAGGTTATCATGATAAAAAAAAAAAACTTCACCTAAAAGCTAGTACATTGTTTTTGTTTTCAAATGGTATCGGGGGGAGGGGAGGGGCTTCGGTTAAAGTCAAACAATTGTAAATCTGAAATGTCTATTTTAAATTTTTAACAGAAGCCCAAATCCCAGATGTTTGGAGGTTGTCATGGTACAAAAAACATCAAAAAAGCTATCACTATTTACCATAATAATATGGTCTAAGATTTCATGATTTTATGTAAGTTTACCTAAAAGAACACAGCAAATATTGAACTTACCTGGAAATGTGGACTTGAGACACACTTGGCTAACTGTTTGAAGAGTGGTTCAATGACTTTTACGAATTCTGATGGTTCTATCACATCAAGGATTTCTTCCAGTTCATTAAGGAACATTACCTGGAGGGGAAAAAAGTGGATAAGATGAATGGATGGATGAATGGATGAGATAGCATGTACGATAAAAATCAGCAGTTTAGATCACAGGTAGCGGTTGATATGGTCATCCTTTGTGTTAGTTCYGTAGCAATAAACAATGTGATGGGGTTGATGGCCCCATGCACATTGCAAGAGCCATGTGGAATAAAATCTGAAAAAATACTTATTAAACTTTTTGTTCAATTTGTAAAAACTTAGTAAGAACCTCTTAGCGTAAAAATTGAATGTAAAAAAGTAATAAATCTCTTGTTGGTGTCATAAAATGTGTAATTCTAGAAATTATTCAT